TATCTGCAACTTGTGCTGCTGCTAGGCAACAGGAGCCCTGCTGACACTAGTAATACCTTCGTTCTATTAGACTTTGATAGCATAATTAACAGTAAAAAGCCAAAAGCTTACTGAGTCCACTGCCTGGAACATCATCTTCAGCTAACTTTCTATAACTACATCCCCACCTCTGCTTTTTTTTAAGTTCACTTGAAGCAGAAATGAAATTAATGGATTAAAAATAGAAGGGATCAAAGTGTAAAGACAAACAGATCTGATAAGTTTTCGCTTTACATCTGTATTTTCACATTGAAGGAATGTGGAAAATGATGATGTGGAAAACACAGCTGGAATGCAACGCTGGTGATGCAACAAAGCTGTGCTGAGACAGAGAGCGTGAACTCAGGTGGAGGAAACAGAAATGGCATTTATAGGGCTTTTTTAGCCTTACAACTCCAGGAACCTTCGACCACAGTTAACTGCATTCATACACTTCTTTATTCCATAAACATCACACACTTTGTTTATCTCACATCCTTGGCCAATTTAGAACCACCAATCAACTTAAAAAAAGAATTTATTTGAACTGTGGGAGGAAGCTGGAAAACCCACAGAGAAATCTGCACAGGGCCAGAAGAAACATGTAAACTCCACACAGGAAACTCCCAACAGGTTAGAAGATTCAAACCAAGCACTAATCACCGCACTACTGTGAAAGCTCTTCTTAATTTAATCTCAATCTAATTATTTGCAGTCAAAAAGCTAATAAATATCACATCAAACCACAAGTGCGAGAAGCATAAATATAAAGCAAAGTAAGCTTTATGCCTGGGTCCATCTATTACCAACTATTTTATACATCGTGAAATACATCATTAAAACACTGCTGCTTGTTTAGTCTTAATATTTAAGTTCAAGTCGTAATTTAAACAATAAACTATACTTTAAATTAAGGCTCAGTCTGAACTAACATCCATTAAGGAAGGGGAAAGGAAACATGTTGCATTCATCACTTTAGCTTTGCAATATTGTTAATATCTGTAATGAAATTCTACCATCCTCAGTAACTCACCCTCTAGCAGGTCTCTGGCCAATCCCGGTTCAGCTCCAGTGGAACGGACAAAGTCGGACAGGACTGCGTCCATATCCACGGTCATGTGATCATGAATTCACAAGTTGGCGGGTTGCATCCAGGCATTAAAAAGAAAGAGAGAGAGAGAGAGAAAGAAAAAAACTGTACTCTGCTCTCCCCGACAGGGCAGCAAAGTGAATGGATAAGGTGGAGTCGGCCTCTACCTTCAGCTAGTCTGTCAGCCACAGCTGAAAAAAAAGGGGGAAAGAAGATTAAGGCTGCAGGTAAAAACCCATCAGAGTTTAAACATCCACATTAATCAGCTTATAAGAAATGAGAAGAGTGCAAGGGGGGATATAATAACCTTATCCAACCCCTTTTTGAATATAAACCTGTTGTGACCTGGATGTTTTTGAACATGACACCTTTCACAGTCACTTGTCCCGCCCATGAAAACAGCAGAGACACACAAAGAGCACAGGTTTCACTAACTGCTTGCACACAAACTAACGGGAGTCAAATGACAAGTCGAGTAGCTCTGCGAGGTGTGATGTTTGTCATGTGGGAAGCTTTACTGTGTGGTTTCAGCTGCTTTTATGAAGACTCTTTAATTAAAGCTGACAAGTTAAAAATTTAAAAGTCATGACTCATGATTCCTGTAAAATCTGGAATCGAGACAAGTGCTTCAATCACACCTGCAAAT